TATATGTCCCAAGCCTTTTTATCATCAGAATGCCACAAAGGCTGCACAGAAGACAGATAACCTTTGGCCACAAGGCAAAGCAACCCCACAAGACACACAGATGCACAGGCTAAAACAATAACCTGCAGAAGAAGACATTTAACATTAGCATAGAGTCGATAAATGATAAATAAACCTGTTTTATCAAGGGACAAGAGTAAACAAGTCGGGCAGCGTGCAGCCCTGTGGTTCTGCTTTACAAAGCACATCACTGTTAAAGTCAGAGAACAAGATAAATATACAGCACCCTAACCCAGAGCATTAACTTTACGAGGCTTTCTGTGGGGATGAATGCCAGGTTGCCTCTCAGATGTGCATTACCCAATAACGCATTCAGCAGTCCTCATGCCGGTTTGTTTGTTGTTAAATGAAACGCAGCACACACGGTGAACATCTGAGCCTTTGGTTTTACTGACCTCCAACACTGGTGACACGGCAGGAACGGGAGGTGTCAAACAAAAGGGCCAAAGAATGTGTGCGAGACAGGTGCAGGGCGTTTTTTTTCTGTCGCCAGAAACGTGTGCACTCTCCCCTCACCCTCCGATTTTCCCGGACACATGGGCGGGGTGCAGGAGCCTACGGCCACACCCTGCACAGAGACAAGACGACCCTCATACACCTTGTCCCAGCTCTGTTTGCAGCAGAAACATTGGGTTCAGAGGAGACTTCCAGGAGACAAACGTATACCTCTGCAAACGCTGAATGATGCCTTTTGATAGGGACACGGTGTCTCTCAAACCTGATCCATGTCTTCACTACCAACAAACACTACTGGCAGTGGAAACATGCAGGAGGAAACACAGCAGCACAACCTATCATTTCTTGCCATATCCTGTAGATTCTTTGTGGGAGATCATCTATGTCGAGACCCTGATGTAGCTACACGCACTCCTAAACAAAGCATTTTTAATAATACCAGCAACCAAATATTGTGACTAGTATTTAAGAGGAAAAGTGAAGTGGAAAGTGAGCCCAGATACTATTTGTTTGAGTTTTGTCTTCCAGTGCTGCTGATGGGCTTACACACGCTAGAGCTGCTGCCCTCCTCACTCCAGTAAACGGGGCCGTGGCCACAGCACTCAGCGTGCCAGGCTTACGATTACGCTCTTCAATAGTCACAGCTCCTGGAACTGCTGCCAAGCACTCAGTAGTCGGTCCGTGTCCCTGCTCTTGTTTTACAATATTTAGATAAGCATGTTGCCTAGCAGCCATGCTGAATAGACTTTGTACATGGTTTATGCACAAGTTTGCTTTTGGTGGATCACTCCGTTTTATTATTATTGAGGAACAGGCCCCTGCTTGCTCCGTGAGAGAAAGATTACCAGTGGCTTCTCATTGTTGCCACATTTGTAATAGTTTTGTACCTGTGCAGCTAGGTGAGTTTAAATTCCTTGGTCTTCTCTGGCCGGCGACTTTAATTATAGGGGCAGTATCTGAGGGGAAGGAACTTTTTATGTCTCTAAATAGGAAATAGTAGATGTGTAAATATACAGGCCAGGGTGGACCTTGGCACTTGTTGCTGTACTCTGAACAGAGTGCTAAGGTTTCCTACATGAATGGCAGGCCCTGTGTGAGAACTCAGCCTGCATTGGTCCACAAGGGACAGACACAAGCAGCGGCTCAGAATAGTCTGTTGTTGGAAAAGGTTAGAGGTTACCTTACAAGAGCCCTAATTGGTAAATGGGAACTTAGCTGGCTGGCTGGTTTTGTCTATTATCTCACCTTAAGTTTATGGACAAATGAGTGCAGTAATACCCCCATTTGGCTCAGTTTCTGAAAGCGTCCTATCTGTCCATCAGAAATGCCACAATGGCACTGAAGCATAAAGCTGCATTACAGCCATTACTAGATTATCTGATGAAACACTGCTGCTATAGTTTGGTCAAAACTCTACGCTACACAGAGAAAACAATCTTTTTTTTTCTCTCTCTGTATGGTTTATCTTTTGGACGAAATCAACAACCACATTGGTTTTTGAGTTTGTTTGAAATCCAAAGCTGGACAATGACACAAAGCTGCTTGTTGCCCTATTTCTAGTGAATGTATTGTCCAGTCCTCTATGTTTACCGCTGCTGGGAAAAGTGCCATTTACACATTGGCGTTGGCTTTGAACAATGGGGCAGATTCCATGAGCTATATTCTGTTGTTTCCCTCACTCTGGGAAACCGCTCTCAGTTCTAGTTATTTTTGGAGCTGACTGTAAATGGTGGATGATAGATTAGTAGTATAGAAGTATTTCTCCTTCACATTTGGACATGGAGTAACAAGATGGTTAAGAAGGTGTGCTTGTGTGCATGTCTTTGGTCTCAGTGGCACGCTGTGTTTTCAGAGATTTTTTTTTTTACAATTTGACAAGCTTTATTTTTAGTCGCTGTGGAATAACCATAGGCTACTGAGGCGTCTCCTTGACCCAAATGGGAGACAAAGATCCTGTGTGCCATGGGAGAGCGGAGAGTGTTTTACTTCACACAAGAGTAAGAAGGACATTGGAGTTCATACTTGCGCTTTCAAATCTTTCAACCATTTTTTGACACAGAACTGTCTAATGTCACCAGGCGAATGATAAATGTACTGTTAACAAGAGTTTGATTAAACAGGATAGATGGAAAAATAAAGCAAATTCTCACTAATGGAAACACTACATCCAGTTTATATTTAAGAAAGTGTCAACTAAAAGTTATTTCTGAAGCTATTTCTGTAGGAATCTGTAAAATCCAACTACTCCTCAACTGTCTATGTAATGTTTACTGAAGGCAGTCGAGTGCTGGTTTAGGACCACTCAAACCCCTAACACGAGTCTCTGGAATACAAGTCTGCTTCAATTAGATTGAGATTCCCCAGAGGTAAATCAGGTGCTGTATCCTTCAGTCACAGGACTGTGTGTGTGTGTGCTAAGTTAATTTTAGTTCAATATAAAACATTTCTGTTGGAGTTAAACTTCGCTGAGCTGGTGCAGACTGCATTCCAAACCATTTATGAACATTTGCAGCATGAGGCAACTGCCTCGGTTGTTTGGAGTCCTGCACTATATTTTTATGTCTGCTTTTCATGTCAGGGAATCGCCTTAAGCTTAGAAGGCTGATGTTCATTTACACGGTGTTAAAGCCTGTAACTGTTCACCAGAAACTGATAGCAATTAGGATGGTGCTCTCTACTTTAGTTGCCCCACTTCAAGCAATGGAATCCCCATTTTATTTCATTTTGAGAATGAAGGATATAATGTTCTGGTGGAAATAAATCACTTTTTTATTTGAATCTAGAGAAATTATAGTGCGCTGACCTCACTCCTGGTAAATCCTGCAGAAGACAAGTCTCTTTGTATTAAACAAACCCATATAATGGACATCTCTGATGTTGTTTCAATACTCCCAAAAGTGATGTTCCAGCAATTTCAGGACATGAACACCAGTCAGTCTTCCTGCTTATCTGGTCGTGTCAACAGGGCCCAGCAGGCTCGCGCTCAGCTCGAACTGCTGTTTATTTACCCAGAGGGAACAGTCCTTATGCAACCACTGCACCCCGTGCTGCTAAAGTCGTCAGCCATGGCCTCCACAGTTGACCCTCAAACCCTGGTTTCCTGGTGGGGTGTTTAGGACACCATCCAGCATGTTAAACTCTGCGCTGTTTCCCCCGTGGAATTTTGGAAACTCAGAAATGCACAGAAAGGGACACACAGCCTTGGCTTTCTTTCACTCCATGTTCATAAGGGATTGGTTTATTTTGATTCAGACACAAACACAGCATTTACAGAGAGGGCTGACAAACACAGGGCTGAATAACAAGGAATGCAGCATGGAGAGATCAGTTTCTCAGTGTGGGAAGGCCTCTCTCGGAGGCCGGCAGCAGTAAAAGGATGACGGCTCTGGTATGTGTGGGGTGGTGTTGACTGTTTGGCCTTTGCTTTGAATGCCCCATTATTTGCTAGGCTGCCCGCCCATCAAGTGTTGCGGATCTAATCAGTCTGAAAGTCATCTTCCACTAGTTGGGCCTCATTGTGGGAGCTCTGTTTTTGTAAGAAGGCAGACTCTGCTATACTGAATCCAACCCCTGCAACACAAACACTTTTCCCGAAATGTCCCCTTCCATTGTCTTTTCTTATTTCTGAGGCTAGTAGAAAAACACCTTACATGGTCCACTAAAGGTCAAGGCTGTTGCCTGGTGTGAGGGATTGAACAGATGGCCTCCCAGCACAGAGCACTGGAACACATGGGTAGACAGTAGTAAGGCTCCTATATCCTCTCCATGCCCTTTCTGTGCTAACTGGTTGTTAAATCGACCTATGAGGAGGCTGCGGCTGGCGCTGGCAGCACATAAAAGAGATATAGATTGATACTTTTCTACTTGATGAACAGGTATGTCACAGTTACTCAGGGCTTTGCAGTTAAAACGGAGAACAGCTGTCGTTCTCAGGGAGTTGTATTCAACATGGTGACATTGTAACCCTGGCAGACCTGACTGGCACCACACTCCTCTGTGTCTATTTCTGAGGCCGGGGGGTGCACACGGGGTTGATTTGGCAGTCACACGAGGAACGAATGTGGGTATTTGGTTGACATGGTCAGCCCTCCTATCCATGCTAAGCTTCGTGCCCCCTCTGATCATCGCAGGTAGCTTGGACAGCAGGCTCGTTCCACTAACAACCGTGACGGGGAGAGGAAAAGCTTTACTGTCCTCGGATAGCTGGGAAAAGGTCCAACCCCATGGCGGATTGATGTGACACTAATTCCACCCCACTGACACTTTCCTCTCAAAGATACTAGGCTAGAGTTGGGTGGGATACTGAAGAGGAGAAATGACCTCCCCTTGCCAGAGCACTCGAGTGGTCTTTACAAGAAAGGAGCGTTTTGAGTCTGTTCTCTGGCTCTGAGCTAGACATCTACTGTGTCTGAAACTTGGGAAAGGACTCTTGCTGGCTGTTTGCAGTGTTCCTGTTCCCACATGGATTTGCTGGCACAGTTGAGGCTTGCATTAGGGAACTAGATCAAAGGAGACATAATGGAGCCCGCTAAAGGGTAGAATGACCTGGATATAGCACCAGCAAACTGCTGTCCTCGCTTATTCGTCAGACATATTTATTGACCCTGATTTTATGTAAAATCTACAGCGCATACCCGGGTGATATCACATGATATGGGGTGATATTGCAATATGCCACACAGTGTGTTTCACACAGATCAGATAGTGTCCCATAATTTCTCTGAAATTCAGTTCATGGTCTAATTGCGTGTAATTGGTTGGCCCTCTATCTGTGCCCTTTGTATGTGTACTTTTCTGCAAACTGGGTTGTCTTTCTCTCTATTTCTCTGCCTCTCTCTTTTTTGCGCCTCCCCTCTCCACTGTCTCTTTTATTGTTGTCTGTGTGTATTGTGCTGAGCTGGCTGTTGTCACTCTGTGATTGTAGTTAAGCTCGGTGGTTTTTGCGTTAGTAGCACTCAGAGCGTATGGTTCTCTTTGGGCCCTGCTGACTCCATGCCTGGTGTCTCACTGAGGCTGTCCACCTGTCTCCTTATTCAGGAAATGCACATACACCCTGATTTCTGCTGCTCCATTGCCTACCAAAGAGATGACATCATTGCTAGCACACAGACACACACACACACACATACAGATGGATACATGTAGGGGACACAAACATTGACACACTCTCCATATGGGCAAGTGGGCATTTCTTCGGGCCTCTCAGTCTGTCAAACAGTGTGAGTTGTTTACTGCTTGTCGAGTTGATTAGTATTCAGGCGTGACCGTGGCCTCCAGTGCATCATTGTATCCTGTTGCTGAATAATCTGTTGCCATTTTCGGCTGTAAATAACACTTTACTCTTCGTCTTGTTTCATCTTATTCAGCTCTGACTGGGTGGAGATCCTGGAGCCACGCTCCCGTGAGCGTATGTATGTGAACTTGACCACTGGCGAGTGCGGCTGGGATCCCCCCCCAGGCGTTCCTGTCCGCCAGGCAGACGGTAACCAGTGGTGGGAGCTGTTTGACCACCACAGTGGCCGCTTCTACTACTACAACTCTACTGGGCGCCGCACAGTCTGGCATCGACCCCAGGGAGCCGATATAGTGCCCCTCTCCCAGCTCCAAGCCATGAGGCGATGCAGTGAGGCCAAGCGGGCTGGAGGAGGCGTGGACAGGCACCACCATGGGACCACTGGGAGTATCGGCAGTGTAGGGAGCCAGGGGCGCTGCACCCCTCTGCCCGAGCAGGACAGAGACAGCCCCATCCCCAGAGCTCTGGAGACCAACGAAGAGGCTGCCAACCCCGAGTTAGACCCGGCAGCGGACAGCAGGTTGCAGGGAGACGGTAGCAGCTCGGAACACAGCACAGATGGCAGTAAAGACCCACAGAGGTAAGCCTGAGCAAACTTTAGTAGCCCCTACAGTAAGCCTGCAAAGGGATTTGTGCTTAATCATTAGTGGATCATATTACCAGGAGAAAAGTGGGGAAATGTGATAGTCATCTCAGCATGTGGCATAGTGAGTTGTAATGACTTTCAAATGCTTCTGTGCTATGAGAAATCGCGGGACTATTTTGACTTTTGTCCACTCAGACTGCTTTTTTATTATCATTCTCACTTATCTGAACATTCCATATGTCCCGTGTTTCCATACTATTGCCTGTGAACCGTGCTCAGCCATTTCAGCAAATCACTACCAAATGGGGAGAACGGTCAGTTACATTACAGAGCACGACATTTCCCCCCGCCTCACGCTAGGGTTATTGGTGCAGAACGGCCCCTAACAGTAAGTCATTCAGAGACCCCATCAAGTGCTTGGTGTTGCGGCCTCGTCCAAACCACCATCTCTTCCCTCCGAGCCAGATTCCAGACATGCCACTTCTGTTTCCCCTGGCACAGGGCCAATGAGGCCGTCTTGGTGTCCTTCTGTGTGCTCACCACCATCACTACCACCACCACCCTGCTCCACTCTGCTCCAGTGCTCATTTCGTTTTCCTAAAACAAATCTAGGCCCCAGGCCATCAAAGACTGCAATGCCTCTTATGGGTGAGAGCTTAAATGTGCATGCACAAGAGGCATGTGAGAGAGTGTTGTCTGTGGTTAATAACAAGCAGAACCGCTACATTCCAGCTGCCTATAAACAAGGCGAACCCTGCTGGGTTTCAGAGTCTCTGCCGCGGCGACTCTGGCTCTCTGGTTCCTCCTGGCTCCTCTCGTACCTCACCTTGGCCATTAGTAGGACTCTCCCCTGACCCTCCCATCCTTTGGGATTACGTAAAGGTGGAGGGGGAGCTAATTGTTTAGCCATGGCTGTTGAATGACACTACTGGAGGCCTTGTTGCGTTGCCTCTGGTGTGTGTGGGGAGTGTTAAAACCCCCCACGGGATTCCCACTTTGCCCCAGTGGTGATTCAACCTTTCCCAGAACCTTTTCTGTCTCCCCTTCTAAAACAATGGCCAGCTGTGTTCCTCAGAGGAAGGCTGAGGAGTCTTTAGCCCAGAGAGGCTTGATACCCTACTTAGCCATATGGCCGTTCACATGCTCACCAGCCGCCATCTCTTAGCAGGTAATTAGAAACCACCACAAAATGCACAGAGAGGATGGAATGTGACAGCTCAAAATGGATGAAAACAAAGTCGGAGACATGCTTGTCTTCAGTTTGTGGCCCGCCTTATTGATAATGACAAGGATCAATGGCTAAGAGCAAGGGAGAAAGTTTAAATGAAGAGTTGGAAGGGTCACAGTGGTTTGAGGTCAGCTAATTGTTCTGTCCCACCCAGAGTGTTAGGGGCTTTCATGAGAACATAGTCCTCTTCCCTTTTTTGATCATGCTACTTCCGGTCGCAACTATTTTAGTTCCATAGAGTAATCGTGTATTTCTATTTTTTATTTAAAGTTCCTTCATGTTTGGTTTGAACCTATCAGCTATTTTAGACATGTCTTCACATGTTCTTTTTTTTTCCTTTCCTTTTTTTCTCTGTGAAATATCAGCAGAGATGAAATGTTATTAACTTATGACCTTTGAAAAACAATGCTGTTGTTTGTGGAGAAGGGACAATCCCAGTTCTTCCAACACCAGTTTCCTTTTGTTATGTGCTATTAATAAATCTGTTCATAATAGATAGAAGCGTTTCCAAAGTTTCCACACAACACACCCTGTGTGTTATTCTAAGCATTGGTTGGTTGATGCCGCTTCCTTTCTCTGTCTGTCTCTCTCTCTCTCTTTGTAAAGCTCATATCTTTGAATTTGTTCTTGCTTATAGGAAGTGTAGGCATATGAGTGCACTTGTGTTCTCACTTGAGTGCCAAACCTGTTACTCATTGGCCAAGTCTTATCACATGTGCTGGGAATTTCTGGGTACTTTGAGCCTGTGGAGCTCATCAGGGAAGTACCGTGGTCTCCAGGGGTAAACATGTCAGTCACATGTGGTTATGGGCACAGAAACTGAAGCAAAACTGATCTCTTGCCATGATGTAGCACCTAAAGGTGTTACAGATCAACTAGCTCATAACACCTGTATTGAATTTCACCCACCTGTCAATGCATGACTGTGTCTTTGTGTCATCAACCAGATAACATCTGTATGGGATTTCACCACAGACACCGTGTGATCTGTGCGTATGCCCGTCTTCACCGTGTGTGGGCTCCTTAACACCGAGCTTTCAAGTTACAGGAGACCTGCTGAGGTTGAGTGGATGTTAAAAAGTCTGCTGAGAACACATGACAGCATTGCATAAGACAACCCAGAAGTGACCCAAGGTGGTTCACATTAGGGTCACAACCCTTTTGTCTTATGGGCTGGCCTGGGGAGTATAATAGACCACTAAAAGGAACAAAGGGTCTCACTTAAACCCAGCTTTCCCTAAGCAGGAAGTCTAGGTATGCTGAATGGAGAAGAACACCAGATCTCTTGTACATGCCCTCTCATTTAGCCTTGTAATCATATAGCGGTGCACCAGCATTAAATCTAAGGCAGTCACTCTGACATTAGACACTTAAAACTTGCCTTTCCTGATTGTTGCCTGTCTTTGGATTCTTTTAAAAAGATTCAGCTTCCAAAGAGTTGGTAAGCGAACGCAACTGTTATTTCTTTTTTTTTTTTGTGCTTATACCAAAGTTGAATCAGCATCTACACATTAAAGAGGAGACGAGATAGCTGGCTTTATATGAGTGTGCAATTGGTTCAGTTAAAAGAATGTCTGTCTAATTTTAGTCTGATGTATTTTAGGGAAACTAATGCACAAATGTAGGAACCTCTTGCCAAAGGTGACAAGTGTGACGACAGAATCAAAAGAACAGAACTGGGACGTTTCATTTTAATTTCAATTTCAGTTTCTATTTTTGGGTTTTTTGGGGGGAGTTTTTAAAGAATTCTTTTAAATAAACCATGTGCGTGAAAGCGCAAGTATAAAATAACAAAACAAGCTTCCCCTCATATGCTTGTGACTGACTGTCTGTGAGTCATGTAGGAGAAATCACCAGTGGGTTTATTTAGGAAACGAGGAGGCGTCTTAAGGGTAAGATAAAGTTTTTGAGTTTTTAATGAGTCACACATTGTGTCTGTATGTTAACTGCGAGAGTGCAGCGCTCTCATGCTTTTCATCTCCCACCACTCTTGAGGATGTAGCCACAGAATTTTTACACACACTGGAAAGGCTTGTTTTTATCTGTACACTCCCGGTGTGGTAAGCTCATTTTTCAGCTCCTTCCAGATGGTGTTTTAACTCTGCCTATAATAATAAAGTAGGTTCTTTTTTCCTTTGCGAAAAAGTTGCACTTTCAACTTGTGATCTTGTTATGTGCCAAAGTGCTTTGGTCTGGTTAGCAGTGACGATATCCTTATTTCGTTTTTTTTATCTTTGCGCTGTTTCTCCAAACGTTCCACATTTCTTTCTGTCTTTCTCATAAATGCAACATTTATGGCATTCGCAAGACCTAGATTACAGAGCTACAGTTTTATGTGTCTCACTGAAGCAGTGTATCCAAAACCTCTTTTGTTTTATTTTAGATATGATTGAAACACTGCTTCTACAGTTAACTTCTCTCAGCTGTGGTGGAATATCTCCATGAAGAACCAGTGGCACCACATGTGAACTGGCCTCAGGCATGCTGCTCTGACTAGCTCAGCTGACTGGCAGCATGCAGAGAGGGTATTCTGTAAGGGTGCTTACAGGGTTCCCACTCACATCCTTTTCCAATGGGACATTATTGTTTACTACCATTTAGTTGTTTTTCTGCCCTTTTGTGTTCTTGATGATATATCTGAGACTGGTGAGAAGAGTTTTTTCATTAGGAGTGCGTGTGAATAAGTTTCAAACTGAGTGCCATAACGGGATCCACCCTCACAAAAAGAGCTGCAGATACACATTCAAATTCCAGAGGCGGGTCTCTCTGGAATCCAGTTCGGTTTGGCCCCATCCTGTCTCTTCAGAATGATCCTAGTGGCTGTCCTCTGGCCCAGCCCAGCACTCCTCATAGGGTCGGGCTGCGGGAGCCACAGACATTCACAACTGGTAGACATCTTGGCTCAGAGGAGGGAGGTGCGTCAGTTCAGCTGTTGCAGGACAGCTGGCTTTCTGGAGGTGTCTGACAGAGGGCCAGCAGCTTTGCCTCAAGCCCAAATTGTGATATTGTGATATTTTTTTATGACAGAATCAGAAGAAAATGGCTTTGAACATTGCTGAAAGTGATGTGACATTGTCCTCAGCGAATCCTCTTTGTCTTCTCAGTTTCCTTCCTCTACGCAGATCGCAGCATTCCCATTGGTTTGTGCTCTGAGGTGTTTGTGTAGCAGAAGCTTGGCCTATGTGACCTCATTTCCTCTTCCTGTCCAGCCAATGTTAATAATAACCCCTGTTTTTCAGACCCCACTATTCCCAGGGGGTATATTTAAGAACTTCCAAATCCGTATCCCTATCCGCCAAAGTGACTCAGCTGATGGCTTTTCCAACAACAGTTATTCCAGGCAGGAAAGAAAGGAGAGACAGAACATCTGCTGACAGCAGAGTCCCCATAGTATATTTAGCTGGTTATTTAGACGATGTGACCACAGCAGTATTCAGAACAGTGACGGAGAGGTATCTGGGACTGTGTTTGTGGGTGCGAGACACCAGAGCTGCTGGTGAATCTAATTGAAATTTGCTGACCGTTAAGTTGATTAGCTGCCTCAGAGGCCAATCAGATTACCCTGTTGGCCTCTAACTTCATTTTATCTTACATTTTCTCTTTCTTCCTAAAGGTGTCACATGCTAGCCCCGGGCTCTGAAAGAAGGGTTTTGTAAGTGCATATGAGCATAGCATAGGTGTATGCACATGCTCTGTGTGTGTCTAATCATGTATGCTTGAGAAATAGTTTTTTTTTTTTTAAGTATATTTTTTTGGGATTTATTGCCTTTACACAGCTGAAGACAGACAGGAAAGGGGGGGCAGAGAGAGGGGATGACACACAGGTACACAGTACACAGTACATGGGTCGCCAGCTCTACCCACTGAGCTATCCGGGCGCCCGTGCTTGAGAAATAGTTGAAATGGAGATTGTCTCTGTGCAAATAGTGAGAGATTCAGAAAACTCTGGAGTGTTTTTACACTCCAGAGTTAATTATCATGTGTCTTTTTATCTCTGTGATAAATTGCCATGCATAATCCCCACCTTCAGCTAACATTCAGCAAACACCTGACATGCAGGCTACTAGCAGGCAACACACCCTTTCTAAACAACTTTCATTGTGGTTAGAATAAAGTCTAGGCTTGTTCAGTGTTACATAATTGCCTGACTGCCTGACTGACTCTGAACGTTGAAGATGGCTCTTTCAGGTTCAGCCTCTTCCCTGTCTATTCCCCCCCCCCGCTTCATTGCCGTCGTTGAGGGGAGGTGTCTCCGTGACGATGGCACAGCCATGCATTGTGTGAGGTTCCCCACACTGCCACAGAAGCCCCTGAATGAGCCCTGAGGAATGCCAGCCTTCCCGCTCATTCCCTTGCTGCACTCTCCCACGACTAATCCCCACCCCTTCTCATTTACACATGCTCACACCCTCCTCTCTTGTCTCTCAAGCTCAGTTTTCCTTCCCCTCCCTCCCCACCAGTCGTCTCCCCACTCTAGGCCTGTTTTTATTTTCTCACCATTGTACTGTGTTTGTGTCTCTTTTGGTTCAGTGTTTGTAATCATACTTTATTTGGTTAACCTGGGGTTTACTGATATGCGATTGTTGTTGTAGCTGTATAATGGGATTAGAGGCTTTGGATAGATATCGAAGATACTGTAAAGCCTTACCGCTAGAGTTGGCTACCAGCCCCCATGCGATTGTGATGAGCATTGTCGCACCGAACTCCCTGCTGACATCCAACATAATGTGCCAATGCTGGAGGGGGTGAACATGCTAGACCTTTGCTGAGCCTGACTGGGACAATGGTATCCAGACAACACAGACAAAGCCTGACAAAACCTCTCTCTCCCAACACTGTGAGCTATACTTACTATGAATGTGTTCAGTTTCATGCCCTGGAGAATAGTCTGTTTAATGTTGCTCCTGAGCCATCATAAGATATAATGAAGATGTCCATAACATAAAATGAAGCATATAAGAGGGTCCAAGCGTGTGGAATTTGCCATGTATGAAGTGAAACATTTAATAAAGCTGTGTAAAAACTCCCTGTTATTAAGATTCAGCCCATACTTCCGCCCTGGGAGCAGTGTGTGAACATTACATTTGGCATTTCCTGTTTGTGTTACATATGGGGAAGCCCTCTCTCAAACCTTCCAGAGGACCTTCTCAGACAGGAAGTGGTGGTCACTACTATCTCAGGGTCAGTCCTCATAAAGTGCGTCATTCCTCCAGCAAGAACATAAAGGACAGATTCATGTTTTTTTTTTTCCAGTCGGCCGTCACGTGAACCCCAGAGATTGTTTTATGAGCGTTTGATTTGTTTGTGGATAATGGAAGTGGAACTGGATTGTTGTGGTTTTATGTGTGAGGTCTGCTATGCTCTTTGGCCGTCCAATTATAAGGAAAGCCTTGATGTTAGATGTGTGAGCTGTTCCGCTGTAGCAAACCGGTGCTAAGCGGTCGGCTGTTGAGGTGGGGATGATTTTGCAGTATTCGTATCACCCCACCTCCTCCCACTTGACAGGAGACAGGAGTGAGAAAACATACACTGTTTCAAAGAGTACAAACAGTGGCTTCTCATGTTTACAGCTGTCACCTATCAGCCCCCCCCCTCCACCTCGTATAACCACCATACACACTCACACTTGCTTGTAACAACTAAACAGTGGTGGTTTGAGGTGAATCCCATCCATGAGAGCTTCTTGTCTTCACACGTGTGTGTGTGTGTGTG